GATTCTTGCAATGCCAAAAATTGTCTGTATTCTCCCTACAGACAGCAAACACCCACATTCCCCTTACCTGAGGGAGCTCTGCCATCAGATAATAGAAGCCTTTGTTCTCTTTTCCAAGCAAGGCACTGGCTGGCAACCGCACATCTTCAAAAAACAGCTCAGCTGTGTCCTAAGAGGATTTTAAATGCAACAGTTTATACCCCAACATTCTCATCTCTTCATTCCACTTCTTTCACCCTTTTTTTTTTTTTCTCTTACTATTGTATACTACAACTTGAAATCACAGAATCATTTAGGCTGGAAGGGTCCTCCAGAGGCCATCTAGTTTATCTCCTACTCGAAGCAGCTCCAGTAAAGCAGCTGAGGGCCTTATCCACTTATGCTTTCCAATGCTCCAAAGACAAAGGGTCTACAACCTCTCTGGGCCCCATCTGATCACTTTTATGGCAATTTTTCTTTTTTAAATACCTATTTAGAATTTTCTTTAACACACTTCTGTCCCTCGCCACTCTTCCTTTCACTGTACTCCTCTAAGAAGAATCTGGCTCCACCATCTCTACAGCCAACCATTAGGTAGCTAAAAGACACCAATAAGATCCTGTCCTTCCAGGCTTCTTCACAGTGAACAAATCCAGCTTCCTCAGCCTCTCCTTGCACACCATGTGCTTCAAACGTCCGTAGGCAGACTCAGCATACATACTTCGCACGTATATTGTTTGTGCTCTAAAGCCTAAGAACTAGAACAGCACCGCAGTTCCGTTCTGTATTTATTCAGCTAATGCCAAGCATTAAGTGGTTTTAGGCTTCCTCCAAGTCTATTAACGTGTTAGGGGTTGTATGAACTCACTTGAGCTTTCAGGCCAATTTTGTTCAGCTTGCGTCCTTTGATGAAACCTTTTGTTCCATTTTCCACCAGAAAAAGGCTGATCCCATGAGCAGGAGATCGGGCTTCCCGGTTTGTCACCGCAACCACGATCACTACGTCACTCATCCAACCGTTAGTGATGAATACCTGTAAAAAATGCAACTTAGAATAAAGCATTGAGCTAGGTGGATAATAGACATTAGAAGAGATCAAATAGCAGAAAAGAAAAATTGCATTGACACTTTCACAGGTGAACTGAAAGGCAAGGTTTAAGTGGCCAGAAGAATTTTAAGCTTTAAGCTTTCTCAATTAGAGTGCTTTGGAACAAGGGCTATTAAAGCAGGAATTAGTTTGAGAAGCATTGTGTGGGTCAGAAGTGTGAAGTTTAAGAATGCACGGATCTGTTTCTTTTGTCTGTCCCGTGATAAAGGAGGAATACGGTATCAAATACAAATACTAAATGAATACAGAGGTTCTCTTTTCTAGAAATCAGATTAGCAAGGTATAACAGGCAAAACTATCAATGATTTCTTGTCACAGTTGCTTACTATAATCCTGTAGAATGACTCACGAACCTGCCAAAGTGATCCATCCTAACTCCAGGCAAAGAAATGAGCTATCTGTCCTGCTTGGCTTCAACTGTGCAGCATGAGCAAGTATCCTTTTGAACACCTCTACATACATATTTGCTTGCACACATTCTCACCACTTGAAATTCTGCTAAGGCCAGAAGTCTCTATCAGTACCATGTTATCAGCAGGAGTTCAAAAGAAGGCAGGGGAGAAAGAAGATTAAGATATTTCATAGCTTTAAAAAAAAAAAAAACAAACAAACAACCACCCTGTTGAACCCACACTTCCATTTGAGTGCTATTTCTGCCTTCTTACTTTTTTATTATGGCAATGACAGAAGAGGTTAATGCTGTCAGCTTTGCAACAGCGTGACAACACACACATGGAGCATCTGATGCAATTGTTTTTTTTTTTTCCTCCTAACACGATCAGCAGGCTCCTGAATAAAGATTCCACAGCTTGCACTGCAGCAACACAAGTCTTTACTCAGGCCACAGAAGATTTCACAGTGGTAGTATATTTTGTTGTTCAACCTCAGTACTAAAAGCCATCCCTGGTCCTGCTTATACTATGCAGGACCTTCCATGTCCACACCTTTTCTTCCCAGTTTAAGGGAAAATAGGCCTTTTGATACAGTTATTTAAAAGCTACAAAAAGAACCTACTTAAGCCCTTCCATACATTGGTCTGTAAATTCCCAGCAAGAGAAATATCTTAAGTCCTACAGGAAAACAAATAAAGGAAAATGATATAAACCACAAAAAAAAACCCAAAAGTGACAGGACTGGGGGGAGACACTAACAGCGGTGTACATCCTTCACTGTCTGAAAGCATTCAGTCCCCAAAGCCTATGAGCAGTATATGTGTCTGTTCACTTACCTTACTCCCATTAAGAATCCAGTCACTTCCATCCTTTTTTGCATATGTTCGTATTCCCTGCAAGTCGCTAAAACAAAATTCAAGAGGTCCTTCAAGAAACCATTCCAGAAGCTGCAATTTGTATCTTGATTTCTACCCAGTATGAACTAAGGTCAATTTTATACTGTTCATGCACGGGCTCAGTGAAAACGCACATGAGGACAGTGAAATAGCTTACAGTGTAACACAGAAGCCACAAGCATGCTGTGGAAAGGGATGATAAATCTGTGCAATTGTACGAGAGCATGAGGTCCCATTTTAATCTATCTGCTTGTGGAAGGTTGTGTAATACAAGCACTGACACCAACACGTCATCATCCCCTTACACCAGTATGCCTTAAGTGACAAGCGCCAGACAAAACCACACCCTCCAAGCAGGCTCAACCCTGACGAGGAGGCTCTGTAAAAAGCCACTGGCAACATCTACCATTTGTACAAGCATGACACAGTGCGTTTCGCTCTTCCCCTGTCCCTCTCTGTTTCAGAAACTGGCCAAATCAGCTGTGTCTACTCCAAAGATGTGCTGTCTGCCCTTCGATAATGATGGGCAAGAGGGACATTTCTCCTCTTCAAAGGATTCAGAGGAAAGAAAATAAGGTGTTCCGTTCCACAACAAAACCTAGTAAGCCCTCTTTACCAAGCTAAGTAATTTTCTCCTGAGTACATTTCATATTAAAAGTACATTCACATGACAAGCAAGTTAGTGACTATAAACTTGAACTATAAAGGCAGATGACAAAGCCTATTTGCCCACAATGGGACGATACTGAAATGGATTCTGAGCAAGTGTCTCTAAGTGACAAAGCTGTAATAAAGCAATCTGTAAGTAACAGTTGGTGTTGAGGTACTACCTAATCGAGGATACTGGCTAGTCACCAAGATAACCACATAACCAGAGAAGTCAGGAATTTTTTCACTAAGAAATCAGTAGACAGCACATAATGTTAAGATCACTGTTTTAACATTTAGCTTACCTGCCAGCTCCTGGTTCTGTCATGGCAATAGCTCCAATACACTTGCCTGCAATCATTTCAGGGATAAAGCGTTTAATCTGTTCTTCAGAGCCATAGTTCGCAATGTAGGGCATGACTATATCGGAATGAAGGCTGAATCCTGGGCCTGTGCAGTTAACATACATCCTTAGGGAGAGGGGAGGAAAAAAAGAAAAAAGTTCAAACAGAAGTACTACAAAGATTTAAACACCGAACTTTACACAGTTACAATAGACCCCACAATGAAAAAAGGCCCAAGTCTCAGACATAATCTGAGCTTGGGGCATTTGTAGTTATAGAATGTACTTTCACAGCCAAATGAGCGCATAACCCACCAGACTAACTAAAATGCTTCCCCCAGCCACAAAGTCCTAACTGTGGAGCACGATGACATTTGTTACTTAAATGATCATCTGGAGTGCTTAAAACAGAAGGGATTTGCGTACGTCTAAACTACTGTTTCCATGAGAAAGGTAGCACCATTTTGTGTAACCAAACATATTCCACAACAAGGACATCTTAACGGAAAGACATACAGTCTCTTGACAACATCAATGAAATTCTTCCTGAAGCATCTAGTACTTACTGCTCCTCCCAGACAACAGCTGAAGATAGAATGTCCGCTCCGATGCCTCCATGTTTTTCAGCAATAGCAACACCCAGCAAACCCTGCTGTCCAGCCTTTTCCCAGAGCTCCCTGCTCACCTGGCCATCCTTCTCCCATCTGCAACATGAACACAAGAATGGAGTCACACATTAAATCCCCCATGTGCTACTGATTATTTGTCATGGCTGCTGCTTCACACTAGAACACCTGGCAGCCGCTTCACACTAGAACACCTGGCAGCCAGGTTTCACTGCATAGGAAGAGATTTTCAGTTTCCCCAAGACACAGTGTGTAGGGTACACTGACAACTATTTCCCAGCTAAGAACTGGTGGCTTAATAATAGGTTTTCTATTCTTCAAGTCCACAGAGGCTACTGGTATTGCAGGGGCACCAACTGTCTAAGTTTGAACTCCTGCTTCCAACACACAACCTGACATCTCTTTAAGCCTTTTGGAATAAGGCAGTGCTGCCTAGTGGTCTGAGTAACAGATCCAGATTTAGGCATTTTAGCCACAACCATTTGGATAATTACAAGCAGGTCTTCATCTTCCTGACATTCCATTTTCCCCACGTACAAAATGGGTATAATGCGTCACTATCTTTTGTGAAAGATTTCAACTCTACCAATGAGAACTGCTTTATAAGAACCAAGTGTTAACGTATTAGTAACTTTTTTATAAAAAAATCGGTCCCCGCGCATTTACTACAAGTCATCGCTGTATCTTGGAAAATTACTGCTTTAAAGTGGTTTCAAGTTCGGAAATAGATAGCTGAGGCTTATCTGCTGACAGTTTGCAAACTGTAACATCACAGGAATCACTTACTCTTGGAAAAACAGTTCCTCTTTATGGAGTTTACCAACTCAATAGAAAGTTGTATGGCCATTAATGGTCCAGGTTTTTTTTTTTAATCTCTGTTTTTGTAACCACAATTTTAAAATTCTATGGTAGACAGATTATATCAGAGACAGTCCTCTGACACATGTGTATGCAGCAGAGCTATACCACAGCACTTTACCCACAGTTAATCAAGTATCTTACCCTACATATTGAAGTTCATTCCCAGAGCTTTTGCTCCTACACTGGAAATCTTAAACAAATCTCTCATGACCATCTTTGCTTTCCCCACCCCACTTTCAGGGCCATTCCTGCCTCTACATCACCCATCATCAAAGCTTCTGCTCACAATAATTCACAACTGCATTCACTGATGCCACATTTGTCTCTTCTTGTCAGCCCAGGTGATTAATATACCACGCCTGAAGCCTCCTTGTTTACTTGAAAGGTGCGAGAACAGAATGGTTCATAGGTCACTGAAGTGATGCAACAATGTAAGTCCAACTCATTCCAGTCTCTCTGGGAAATCGTTGTGTCAGCAAGCTAGCAAACAGGATCTTCAGTAACCTTGTGAACAGGTACTGCCTCTGCTCAACCTGCACTACAATTCAATCTAACAAAAAACGAGGGAAAACATCTGGTTTTGTGGACAGAATATGATTGTCCAGTGGAAAAACATAGTACTTTGAAGCCACGGTTTGAGAATTAAAAAAAAGTTGGCAACAACCCTGATGTAAGCTATTTCCATTGCCTCCTGCTGTTCATTTCTGCCCCAGAGCCACAACACCCACCCACTCAACTGTACCATCTCAACACACACTGTGAGCCGCATCAGAAAATTTGTCTAGCAGTGTGATTTAACAATAAGCCCTTCACTACCCCAGTGTTTTTGCAGGAATGTTTTTAAAGCAAAGTAAAAATTGCATAATACACTACTGCAACTTAACACTTTCTGCTCAAAAACATGTTCTGAGTTAATTTATTTTCTTTCCCCAACTATAACATGATTTGATATAGCTAAAATAAGGGCAAAAAAACACCCTCCAGTTCTAGTTCAATGGAAGTATGACACTTCTACTCTGTGCAGAAGACCACACATACTTCCACAGAAGCAAAAACCACAGAAATTAAACAAAGATACTTTGTGCAAGTTTCTTGGTAATACATAATCCATCTTACCATCCTACGTGTACTGTATTTACAAAGTCTACTGCAATGTAACCTAGACACAATGTCAATGCTTTTTTGGATGACAGCAGTACAAGTGTGGGAACTGAACTGCCTCCCTAACTCCCCCCACGACATCGGTGTCAGAGTCTGGGGGAAAAAAATGTGTATTATTTAGCAAACCAGAATGTTTAAGAGGTATCTTACTCTGCATGAAAAGGCAGCACTTCTTCCTGAAAGAACTTCCTGGCACTCTCCCTGAAGATATCATGATCTGATGAGAAGATCCTCCGAGTACCTATATCAATTAAACTTTTAGCAGAAGATGGTTCTGGGCGCTTTGTGCCATGCTGTTCAGTTTGCAGAGGACTAAAAAAAGACAAGTGAAAGCATCTGTTAGGACACAGGCATCCTCATTTACATAACCCTTTTAAAAGAAAGGAAACACCTGTGTTAAACATCATTCACATCCCAAGTCTAGCACACTGTTAGGTCCAAAGGATACCCACGATAAGACCTAACATATACCGTAATTCACTGGGCTGTGAAAGGAGGTAAAGCAAGACTGGTTTGTCCTCAATACCTCAAATAAATTAAAACCAATAATAATACATACATAGGTAAGAGGATAAAGTTTCTGTTCATTAGAGATGTTAAAAATCACCACTGCCTCCTTTCCCTGGGACACAACATTCAAAATGCAATTCAGCTCAATTTAAACTGAGGGGGTAACTCCCTGAAGAAGCGAAGTTTTTGTGGGTTTTGTTCATTCTGTACGCACCCCCAAAAGTCCCAAAATTGCAAATCCACGACACTGAAAAATCACACACTCAAAAGCACGTACAACTTGGATTTGCATGCTCTGAGGGCTGTATTACCTGCATTATCACATACATCTGCATAGTTCTAACCTTAAAAATAATATTAATTCCTTCTAACTTTCAGTATTTTCGTTGTACAGGAAGGCTAATCGTCCCAAAACTCTGATAAAAACCTATGTAAAAAGAAAATGCTTCTTTAACAAAGAATAAAAACCAGAACAGTGGTAAATGTCAGTAGTTGAAATCACACAAGGAATGTATAATTACAAAATAACGAGGAAGGGTTTAAAGCTTTTCTAGAGGTTTAGAATGTCAATGACAACATACTACTTTAAGGCTGAAATGAAAATTCAATACTTGCATTTGTGCATTGAGTTCTTTGACATGCTTTTATTGCCACAAAACATCAGAAATTATAAATACAGAGCTGAACTACACTAAAAGGAAAGGTGTTTGCTGTTCCTTTCTCAAACTGTTTTGTTCACCTCTCTTCAGTTCCCCAGCACAGCACAGTAATTCTGTGTAGTCCCACAAAGCTGGGCTGAACCTACACTTACTTACTCCATTACCAAAACAAAGGTCTTTATTTACTGCCACATGAAGTTACTCACACTTTTCCTGGTGCAAAGGATTAAACACCCCTGAAACACAGACTCTATTTACCTACATTTGGAAGAAGTGGGCTACCATAACTTGCTTGCTCAGTATTTAGTACCCTCAAATACAGGCTTCCCATGCTAGGCACACAGTGACTCTCCCAAAATCTCCACTTTATTGTTAAAGCTGTTTAAGATGTTATTGAGCTTTATTTAAGACCACTCCTCTGTTTAATTGTGGCTCATGGCGAACACCGAGGGGCCATACTGCTCCTTCACGCCAACCACAGCTCTAGGGGACACCACTCGTCGGTCAGAGGAGGCCTGAGCACCCTCCTGCGTTTCTGCCCCCCGAAAACCCCCTTCCCCGAGCCCAAGCACCTGGCTGCCACGGGTGACCGGGGTGCCGGGGCAATGACGCGCCCGGCCCATCACCTGCTACCACCACGGGACTCTGCATACCCCGAGGCCGACGAAAAGTGGAGCAAAGGTCGGCGCCGTCACGGTGACGCGCGGGGGCTCCCAAACCTGCCAGGCACAGGGCACTCGGCGGGCTCCCAGACCTCCCAGTCCGGCCCTCGCCATAACCCAGGGAGCTCAGGCGGCTCTAAAACCTGCGGGGCACCAGTCGCTCACTCAGACAACAGCTGCCTTCTGCGGTGGGGGGCACAGGCACAACGCATATACACACACGTCTGGGCATATTCACCCGCCTGTGCCCGCAAGCTTCCCACCACATATATACATAGCACACATCCATATCCCTCCAAATACATACATAGGTGCATACACCCACCACATATACATACGTTCATATAGATACGTATACATATGTGTACATACAGCCTGTGCAATCCCATCAACACATAAACAGACGGACAAACACACACCCTCCCCTTAGGCGCAGGAGCGCAGGGCGCACGCCCACCCTCACGGCGCGGCCCACAGACACAGGCACCCGGGTATTCCCCTCCCCTACCCGCCCCGCCCGCCGCC